GTACAAAATAAAACCCTCACCCAACCCAAAGCCTTCGTTTTAGCAATAAATACGGGTGGGTTGGGTCTGGTTGGACGGGTGGGTCGGTTTGCGGGTGAGTTTGTTCACCCCTACCAGTGACCATATCAAATTTTTTAATTTTAATTTAGAAAAATAAATAATTAAAAAAAGAACACATGCCACTCCCTCTTCTTCTTCCTCCGCCCAGATCGCCAGCGGTTTACCTCCTCCCGACCTTCTTCCCTCATCCACCGCACCGTCTCCAAAATCTGACGCCGCCCCCGATCGGGAACCCGACTTCCCCATTTGCGACATCTGCTCCTGACCCGGGGACCTGAAACGTGTCGGAAAACCCTAGAGCGACGGGTGCCGATGGATCTACCCGGCGGCCCGTTCGTCCTCTCCCAAGTCCAGAACAGGTTCTCTGCCTTGGGCTACGACAACCTCGCCATGATGTCGCAGCGGAAGTCAACTGTTGCGAGATCAGGATCCCTAAAAATCCCCTAAACCCAGATTCGTCCTCCCGACAGCAGCAGCAATCCCTAAAATCTATCGCAGCACAATCAAGATCGACGCCCAACAGCGCCTCCTCAAGCTTATCGCCCACAAAGACAGAGGCCTCAAGACCCAGAGAGACCCCGCCAAGCTCAATTCCATCGTCGAGGCCATCGATTGCATAGCAGAGGATTCCAAGTTGAGCCCAAATGGTGTTGGGCTGAGGAAATCTATTCCAGTTACGCTCGAGTGGATGGTGGATAAGAAGTACTATAGCTTGATTGCTTGGGCTGAGGAAATCTGTTCTAGTTAAAAGCTTGATTGCGAGGCGAAGGGATTCGATCAGGAGGAGGAGGGAAGAAGCGGCGGCGAGGCAGAGGAGGAGGGAAGAAGGTCTGGAGGTGATGTGGCGACGGGAAGAAGAAGATGAGGGGAAAGCTTCGACCCTCCATTTCTTACTTTTTATTTATTTTTATTTTTGTATGTTAGAAAATTATAAAATAAAAATTAATCAGACGTGTAAGTAGGCCTGTCGGGTCGGTTCGGTTCGGGTAATCGAACCCGGAACCCGCAAAAAACCGAAAACCCGAACCCGAGCCACACAACCCGAAACCAAACCCGAAATTGTGATTTGTGGGTTTCGGGTACAGTAAACCGAAACTTAAGCTGGCGGTTTCGGTTCAGTTCGGGTGAACCCGAAACCGAACCAGATTGCAGAGGTCTTGGTACTACATCTCCTGCAAACTTTGCTGCTTGGTACTCATAATGGTGCGCTAAAAATTTCGTAGTCACTGACAATATCTTGGGGAGTTTGGTGTATACACATTTGGGGCTGCTGTGAAGCAGAGGTCACATAGAATCAAGCCTCTTCCAGAGGTCTTCTAATGACTGGATCAGCTGATAATCCTTTGGCATATGCACTGATCGCATTCAGAAGGCTAGTAAATTTCTCCCCGTTGTCCTGTATGTACACCGATTCAAGTCACCCCCAAAACAGATTTCATTAGCAGCACGATGCCTCATGATTCCTAAGATCTGACTGGGCATGCAAGAGGAAATATCATATGAAGAAAGAACAATCCTGCAGCTTCTACCTTTTTTATCCGTTCCTCTGCAACTTGATCAACGCATTGCAGCAGATTTTCCAGTGTCCCTGCAAAATATCAGTAAGCTCTTTTCAGATGCAGAATATTACCATCATATACAAAAGATTAAGAAGTCTCAAATGAAGAAAGAACAATCCTGCAGTAGCTGCCAGAGACGCCTCTGAAACAACATATGGAATCCAGATTCTAATGTAAATAGATTTGTGCAGCATCTATGTCCTGCTTTGATATAATGGAATGGATGGCGACAGGTACAACTGATTCTTACCAAATCTATTGATTAGTTGCAAAGCACGGACGTCACCTATACCATCTACTGCTGTATGAATATAAACATAATACTTCAATGTAAGCAGAGGGCATGTCATAGAAAAAGTGTATATTTTTATTCTCCATTCAGGGAGAATAGTTACAGTTAATCACAGTAGAATAAATAAGACCTGGAATATTATCTGCTTTGTCACCCACGAGAGAGATCATATCAACAAACTAAGAAGGTTTCAGTGACAGATATTGTTCAGCAAAATCCTCTATCCCAAAAGAAGAACAGGATGCAGGAGGCAAGTATTTCTGTCTCTTGCTGCTTTACATGGTCAATGGACTGTGCTGTCTTTCTCGACATTGGTGGGCTGACGGGAGATCAATGGACTGTGCAATTCATCTTCAGAATCTTTTGTGATGGGAGGCTTAAAAAGAAATACTCTTTCCCACATCCACAATTCATTCCACATAATCATAACCATGGCAATACATCACATTGTAGGTTAGACGAAGACTGCGAATTGGTTAGACCCTAAGCAACAATTAAACATTGAAGATAACATTCTCAATTTCCAGCTACAAAATCTATCACAATCAGGAAACAATAAACTTAACAAGCAAGCAAAATCTAACCTGAAACATCTTCCATGCCACGAAGGCTCTGGAGAACCTGTTTTGCCTCAAGCATCCTCCCTTTACTTACGAACCAACGAGGCGATTCGGGCAAGTAAAACACAGTCAATGCAAAGTACAACCACGAGGGGATTGAAAGAACCCCGAGCATCAACCTCCAGCTTGGTGAAGCCGACAACGACATAGTGAAAACCATACAATACGACAGGAACATGCCACCTGAGCCAGTGAACTGAGGGAGAGTATTCAGCTGTCCTCGTATATCGGAAGGGGCGATCTCAGATATGTAGAGCGGAACAAGGGTCACAGCCAAGCCAATCCCAAACCCATCTAGCAGCCTAGCTAAACACAGGATGTACACAAGAATTCAAGCAGTGAAATAAAGGAGCTTACTGGGATAGCTGATCTCAAATCGATGAAGCCAGGAGAGAAATCAACGAGACCAGGGGAACCCTAACACTAGATCGAAGAAGGACGTCCGACGAAGTGCGAATTGCGAAGGGGTTGCATCTCCTTTGTCGAAGCCTCAAAGGGCTTGATACCTGCAAAAATCAAAACCCAATACGATGAAGCCAGGGGAGGAATCGACGGACCCAGTGAAACTCTAAAACCAGATCGGAGAAGGGTTGCATTACCCAGATGCGCGAGCGTCGACGCCTGACAAGGAAAGCTTCGATCTTGATTCTTGAACGAACGGATGAGTTGCCGGCGAAGGGATGGCGAAGAGTTGCAGGGTAGATTTTGGCGAAGCTCTGGCTGCGCTGCAGTGTAGCGTGTAGGGTTTTCGAAGACAATGGCGATGGGGCGAAGCCGCGAAGGACCCTTGCAAACTGAGAAGTGAGAACTGAGACGCTGAGACTGAGAGCTTCGGTTTTCGGGTTACCTATTGGTTTTCGGGTTTATGTGAACCGAAACCGGCATGTGCCTTCCTCAGGTTAAAACCGACAACCCGAAACCGAAGACACTTATTATTGGTTCGGGTTCGGGTTAAACCGAAAACCCGAAACCATTTTGACAGGCCTACGTGTAAGGTGATGTGGCTGCTGATGTGACGTTTTCCGTTACAAAGTTAATAATAGTAACAAACTGTTAGCCATTCGTTTACGCGCACTAGTAGTTATGGCTAATAATTTGTATTTTCGTAGTTGTGACTATAATTCCCCGACGCTTAATAGTTGTGGCTAATATATTGTTTTTATCCTTAATTTAACTATCACCAAAACCAAACGATCCAGTATTCAACAAGTTATATTACTTTTTGTGGGAAAATCACTTTTGCCCTTGCTTTTATTGGAACAAAAAAAAAAAAACCCAACAATCTTCTCAAAACTATCTCAACAATATCAAATTTTAGTAGATATATTACTACCACATATTTTGAGTGATAATTTCAATCACATCAAGTAAACAATGCATGTATTGTTTGTGAAAAAAACCAATACATTATAACTATACCGACCAAACAGTCACCAAAACTAAAGCAATCTATAGGTATATAAAGTGAGGAATCCTTCTCTCAACATTATCATATATTTTTCTTTGAAATGACAATATGATGATTGTATAATAATGGGAATAGTGCCAGCAAAAGTTAAATTTTGCGATATGATTATCCCCATAAGTTCATTATTAATTATTGTAACATTCACTAGAGGTTTGGGATTCCTTTTTTTATATTATTATTATGCAATGGAATAGGGTTGGAGGACTCTTCTTTAATCGGGCAGAGAATGTTCCATTTCTACTGTTTAATCCTTCTAAATTCCTCCCAAAACAAAACAAAAAACAGAAATAGATTATTAAACGCAATAAAATTCTTCCTTCCACGACGTCGAAAAGCCAATTTGGTTACAGGTCCGTATGCTAAAAAAAATATACAAAAGCCAATTTGCAATTTTCCTCTTTCTCCTCAGACCACGTGGCTACGAACCAATCGGTCAGCACCTCAAAATTCGCAATAGCATCAAAAAGCGCCCAGATCTATGCGAATAAACACAGCGACGCCACTTGCGAAACTTCCCCAAAATAAATCCCCACCTATCCGCTGCCTCCGTTCCCACCGTAAGCTCAACCATTCTCCCCCTCCGCCCCAACCATCTTGGTTCGACCTGACTGGTTAACCGGTCTATTATAAAGGGTTTGCTTCATCATCTCAGATTCGGCCCAACCGTTTCGTCCTCCCCTTCTGCATCCGACCCCAGCGGATCACCGCCCCATCCCTGATCCCACCATTCTCCGACCCTTCCAAAATTTCGGCAAGCAAGAAGGTCTGCAAAACCAGTATTTTTACTCCAGCGCGGCACGCAGCCCTAGGTCCCCGTCCGTTCTCCACACGCCTCTGTTCTTCTCTTCTCCACTTCCCTCCGCCCTCTATCTTATCTCCACCGCCACCGATCATCAATTCTGATTCAGATCTTATCTTCTCCCCACTCCTGCTGCCGTAATCATCCGTTTCGCTATTTTGTCCGCTTCCTCTCGTTGTATGCGCCGCGAGCGATCGACGTCATGTATATAAAAGGTTCTGCCTCGGCGGCTTCTTCACTCCTCCGAAGAGCGTCCAGGGCTAGAAACGTCTCTTCGCTGTCTCCCTCGTCCTCTTCTCCCGCTCTCGCGTCTCCGTCGCCTGCGGCGGCACCGAAATTGTCCCCGGCTTCTTCCTTGAATGGCAGCTACCGGCACCAGCAGCAGCGATCTCTGAGTTTCTACTCCGCCGTCCGATCCCTCCCGCGGTGGAGCCACGGTGTCAATTGGCTGTCTTCACGCGGCGGTAGTCCGAGTGCGCACGCTAGAGCGGGTGCTATCCCGGCGATTGAGCAGTTCCAGAGGAAGATCGCATCCATGGGTAACAGTTCTTGCCAATTCCTTGATTATTTTATTGTTTTTTTGCGGAATAAGCGATAGTGACGAGCTGGAAATGGAGTCTGATAAGACTATTTGACTTTTCATCGGGTCAACCTTGTAGTGCTTTTGATCAACTAGCAAATTCTAATCTCGTTTATGTACATTTCTTTGTTTGTTTCGTTCGTTTCTGAATTCTGTTCGGATCATATCTAATCATCGAGTCTATGATCAACTTTAATTGGCAATCAAAGTAGGCGAGCATTTTCACGTTTTTGTGTCCTCTCTGTATCTAATGTCGTTTTCAGCGTTAGCTGCCGGTGATGTGCATCATTATTGAATAGTAATTGATGACCAATCTGTAAAACCTGCAATGATCAACTCTGTACATCGTTCTGTTGAGGCAATCATTGTGGAACTTCCTGCAATTTTATGAAATTTCAGTAGGTCAATCGTGGACGTTTGGCGTTGATATTTTATGCGCTTCTTCTTTTTATTGATGATTGCAGCTACCGAGCATCCTTTCAAGGAAATTTTCACTTCCCTACCCAAGCCAGGGGGCGGGGAATTCGGGAAGTTCTACAGTCTGCCTGCTCTGAATGATCCCCGTATTGGTAAGTCTCTTGAACCTCATGTGAAGTTATGCCATGTAAATTCGTTCTGCCAGGTTTCCCCTTATCATGCGGGTGGCCTTTTCATGATCCGTTGTATACATATTCGATCACTCAGAGTTAATTTTCTAGGAAGTGCTGGCCCTGTTCTTCACCTCCCTATCTTAATGACCATGTATTTTGTTTTTCTAACGCAGTCTTTTTGAGTTTTGGTCAGGCATTGTTTCACGATAGAATTTTGTCCAGTGTATACTAATTGTAATATGTACTATGTTGGTGGCTCTTCAACAGAAAAGCTTCCCTATTCCATTAGAATTCTCTTGGAATCTGCCATCCGTAACTGCGATAACTTCCAAGTCACCAAAGAAGATGTTGAGAAGATCGCTGATTGGGAAAACTCCTCCCCCAAACAAGTGGAGATCCCTTTCAAGCCTGCTCGTGTTCTGTTGCAGGTATTTCAGGAACATAGCTAAGAAGTTTTCGGAATTGAAAACACTTTTTTTTTTGTCTTCACCTATCTTCTTTGCTTGCAGGATTTTACTGGAGTACCAGCTGTTGTCGACCTAGCTTCTATGCGTGATGCAATGGCCAACCTTGGCAGTGATCCCAGCAAGATTAATCCTTTGGTATGTGCAATCCATATGAAGCAATGTACTAGTCTTCCAGATGTGTCTCATTGTTTCTGTCTTCGGGTTAGCAGTCTAATGTTACTTCTGCTGGAAGGGTAGTAAGCACTTGGTCAGTGTAAATCTCTTGTTTATTTGTCTCCCTTTTAAGGTTACTTCCTGTGCTCAATTTGATGACTAAGAGTGCATGGTCCATTGCAAGCAATCTACATACGAGTCTTAAGTTCCCATTAATGGAGTGATGGCTGCTATATGCATCTGGTACATTCTTGTTTATCATTTGACATGCTGTGATGCTGCTGCTGTGTGCAGGTCCCCGTTGATCTTGTAATTGATCATTCAGTTCAAGTTGACGTGACTAGATCAGAAAACGCCGTACAGGCTAACATGGAACTTGAATTTCAGAGGAACAAGGAGAGATTTGCATTCCTTAAATGGGGTTCTACTGCTTTCGATAATATGCTTGTAGTTCCTCCTGGTTCCGGTATTGTGCATCAGGTATACTTTGGAGTGCCGTAGTAATTGTTTAAGTTTTCCCAAGATACATTGTATGCTTGAACTAGTATTCCTACTTATGGAGCAGGCTCACTATTGTCGTAATCAATATTTGCTTCACCTTTTTGTTTGGCCTAATGATTTGGTGAAATGAAGAACCTTGAATTTGGCATTTTAACGTTTGGTGGGGGTGGGGGGCTATATATATATTTTTTGAGGAATAACTATTGGTGGTTTTACTGGTGTGCCATACTTACAGGTAAATCTCGAGTATCTTGGACGAGTTGTGTTCAACAAGGATGGGGTCATGTATCCCGATAGTGTGGTTGGAACTGATTCCCACACTACCATGATTGACGGATTGGGAGTTGCTGGGTGGGGTGTCGGAGGCATTGAAGCTGAGGCTGCCATGCTGGGTCAGGTAAATAATTTATGGACAACTTGGTTATTTGTAGTGAATCTTGATTTAAGTTTTGCTTTCCAATTCTTTTATCTCTTAGCTGTGTTGTTCTCAATGTAGTTTGGCCAAAAGTAGTGGGTACCCTAACATTTATTACCTTTGAATTTGATAAAATGTGTATGAGTTGGTTAGATTTATGTGCTCATCGTCAGGGTACATTACCCCCAAGTAGTGTTACTTACATCTACTTTTTATGGGTTCTTATGCTAGGTGAGATTTTACAATGTTTATAACATATACTTGTGTTTACTATATGGCATCATATATTGTATCATCTCGGAGGATCCTTTGTGTATCTGATGTCTTCTGTAAATCTGTCTCTTTGTGGATTGTTCTCTGCTTACCAGATTTGATTACTGGAAAAGTGATTAGTTCCCTTATGTCTGTTAACCTGAGCTGCTCTTGCTACCTTAGACATGTTGGTGCATGTCTTTACAACTTTGTTCTGATATTATGTGCTCCTCCACAATGACAGCCCATGAGCATGGTGTTACCTGGTGTTGTTGGATTCAAGTTGTCTGGAAAGCTGCGCAATGGTGTGACTGCCACTGACTTGGTCTTAACTGTAACTCAAATGCTGAGGAAGCATGGAGTTGTAGGAAAATTCGTCGAGTTCTATGGTACTTTTGTCTTCAACTTCAATTGTATTATTTATTCAATTACCTTGGTTTTGCACTTGGTGTCTGATGCTTCTCCACGGCAACAGGTGGAGGAATGAGTGAGCTGTCATTAGCTGATAGAGCAACCATAGCCAACATGTCTCCTGAGTATGGTGCAACTATGGGGTTCTTCCCTGTAGATCATGTCACTCTAAAGTATCTTAAACTGACTGGGAGGAGTGATGAAACTGTACGTGTGTCAATTTTCTTCTTCTTTCTCTATATGGATGTGTTTTATGTGTTATTTTGCTCGAACAATATAGCAATCTCAGAATATATTGACACCTGTTTGTCTCGCTTTTTGTTTTTACTTTAGGTATCAATGATTGAAGCATATCTGCGGGCAAATAAGATGTTTGTTGACTACAATGAGGTAGTTTCTCGACTAATTGAATTGTCATTTTATCATTTTTTTTATAGTTGAAGCAGTGAAGTTTTTGCAACTACTAATTTTTTCATCAATTGTATAAATAAATTCAGCCGCAACTAGAAAGAGTGTATTCATCGTACCTGCAACTAGACCTTTCGGAGGTTGAGCCCTGTATTTCTGGACCCAAGAGGTGTGCATTTTAACCTAAACTCCTCTAAAAAATGCTAGTTCACAATTTTGGTTGAGTTGATTTGCAGGCAATGACATCGTTTTCTGTTCTCTCCAGACCTCATGATCGCGTGCCTCTTAGAGAGATGAAGTCAGACTGGCATTCATGTCTTGATAACAAAGTTGGATTCAAGGTTAGTTACAACCTAGTTTCTTTAGACTTCACAAGACAGACAGCTGATCGGTTTATAGTTCTGTAGGTATTAGATTAATCATTCCTGTCACAAGTTAACTTTCTCCAAATTTTAAGATTAGTGTTGCCCATAGCACATTATTATTCTATAGTTCATTCCTGAATACCTTCTCTACTGAAACCTTTTCTGCTGTAGGGTTTTGCCATACCTAAAGAATCCCAAGGCAAAGTGGCTAAGTTTTCATTTCACGGGCAACCAGCAGAGCTTAAGCACGGCAGTGTTGTGATTGCTGCAATCACCAGCTGTACCAATACCTCTAATCCAAGTGTCATGCTTGGAGCTGGTCTCGTTGCCAAAAAGGCCCACGAACTTGGCTTGAAGGTAAGTACTGTGAATATCTTGCATAAATATTATGGGATGGCTATTGTCTAGACCTTTATTTTATACGAGAATGTGCCATATTTCTTCAGAAGCTGAAAAAAAATCCAATTTGAATGCCTCAATGCTGTAATCTCATTCTAAATTCCTGTTCGCCAGGTCAAGCCATGGGTAAAGACAAGTCTTGCTCCGGGTTCTGGGGTGGTTACAAAGTATTTGCTTGAGAGGTGAGATATTTTTGTTGATGTTGACAAGGGATAGAGTGCTTACAGAGCGCTTGGTATGTATGAGTCGGGATAGACACTAATGAGTTATACATGTTGTCACACATGCAGTGGTTTGCAAGAGTATTTGAACCATCAGGGCTTCAACATTGTTGGTTATGGCTGCACAACATGCATTGGTAACTCTGGAGAAATTGATGAAGCTGTTGGTGCTGCTATTACAGAAAATGGTAATTTTTATTCCCCGAGTCCTAGCATATCAAGTTAACAAATCTATCTGTCTGCCTTTGCTCTGATTCTCTGCTCATGGTAATGTCTCTTGTCTTCAGACATTGTTGCCTCAGCTGTGCTTTCCGGTAACCGAAACTTCGAAGGTCGTGTTCATGCCTTGACAAGAGCAAACTACCTTGCTTCACCGCCATTAGTAGTTGCATACGCCCTTGCTGGCACTGTATGTTCCTTCTCTTATTTTCAGATTTTTCCTCAAACCATTATCTTTCTCCAAGTCAATGGTCAAACACCCATTTATTTCACGTCTGTTCTATTATCAGGTCGATATTGACTTCGAAAAAGAGCCCATTGGAAAAGGCAAGGACGGAAAGGATGTTTATTTCAGGGATATCTGGCCATCTACCGAAGAAGTTGCACAGGTAAAGCTACTGACTCTTACTTATTTGTCTCTAGTTAGTATTTATTACCAGGCAAGATGTTAATAATTTCGATGGCTGTTTTGAACGCTGCTGTCTGTAGGCTGTTCAATCAAGCGTGTTGCCTGAGATGTTCAAAAGTACGTACCAGTCCATCACAAAGGGCAACCCCATGTGGAATCAGCTCGCAGTACCAACTGGAAGCTCTTACTCATGGGACCCGAACTCCACCTATATTCATGACCCTCCTTACTTCAAGAGCATGACTCTTGACCCTCCTGGTGCTCACGGGGTGAAAGATGCCTACTGCCTTCTCAATTTTGGTGACAGCATCACCACTGATCACATCTCGCCAGCTGGAAGCATCCACAAGGACAGCCCTGCTGCCAAGTTCCTCCTTGACCATGGAGTGGACCGCAAGGACTTCAACTCCTACGGTAGTCGACGTGGCAATGATGAAATCATGGCTAGGGGAACTTTTGCTAATATCCGCATTGTCAACAAGCTTCTGAAGGGCGAAGTTGGCCCTAAGACGGTCCACATTCCCACTGGCGAGAAGCTTTATGTGTTCGATGCTGCAAGCGTAAGTAGATTGGTTGCCCTTAAAAGACGTTGAAGTTGTATTCCATCTGTCTGGTATTAAACAATTTGTTCCTTCGCTTAACTCTACGATTGCAGAAATACAAGAAAGAAGGACAGGACACCATCATTCTTGCCGGAGCTGAGTATGGAAGTGGAAGCTCCAGAGATTGGGCAGCTAAGGGTCCAATGCTACTGGTTTGTCCTCTAGAACTATTTCGAGCGATGTTATTCCCAATTACTTCAGTTTGAGTTGGAAGACCTTAATGCCAATCCGCCCATTTGATCGCAGGGTGTGAAAGCAGTGATTGCAAAGAGCTTCGAGAGAATCCATCGCAGCAACTTGGTCGGAATGGGGATCATCCCACTCTGTTTCAAGGCCGGCGAGGATGCAGACAGCCTGGGCTTGACTGGTCACGAACGGTACACCATTGACCTTCCGAGCAGCATCAGCGACATCAGACCTGGCCAAGACGTAACTGTCACGACCGACAATGGGAAATCATTTACCTGCACAGTCCGATTCGATACAGAGGTAAAAATTATGCACTCCCCTTCCATCTCTCTTGTCTCTATGGCGTTCGTTGCTCGAATCTGTTTTATATCGTTCTGAATGGTGTTGCTACAGGTGGAATTGGCTTATTTCGACCATGGAGGCATTCTTCCGTATGTGATCCGCAACTTGATGAAGAAGCAATGAGATGCACTGCCATTGTTGGTTTAGCCTATAGACTTATAGTTCAGGCGCTCACACAACAAAAATGCACTTCTAAAGATGAAGAGAATTGAGTTTTGTAACGATTTGTAATAAGGTTTTCTATCCCCCCCTTTTACGGCTAAAGACTGGCCCAAAAGTCCGTCCTTCCTTTGTAAGAGATGGAGGCGCTTTCCTGCAGTTTCATTTTGATTCTCCCTGAATTCTTGATCCATGAAAGTGGATGCCCAATTGGAATGTGTTCATTTTGCCATTTCTCCCTAGTTTCTGTTTTGCAGTCCAAAAAAATGCTCATAATGAAGGATGGCCCTCTAGCACTTGGAAAAATAGTCGTTCTACTAATTGTCAATCGGTTAAGTTTCCCATGAAACCCGCGGCATAGAGGAAGGATTTCTGCACCAGGGTGTAGCAATGCCATTCTGAAATTTTTAATCTTGAGGGCTGAGGCTTTCTCAAACCATGGCCATCAAAGCTCCATTCTCTAGCAAAATACCCACACCATTTCACCTCTAGCGTTCAAAAAGTTACAAACAAGAGAGTTTTTGTTAAACCAAAAATATCTAATTTAGTTGATATCGAAATTCAGCTCTCATATTGCAACAAAATGCCAGAGTATAATCATTCTCCCTAGACAAAAACAATGATAAGCACATAATATAAGCATGCAACGATTGGAACAGGTCGCCTACCAGGATTGGTGCGGGTCGCCTACCATAGTTTTCATGACTCTCGATGGTTGCTCGCATGATTGTACGACCTGCCTGTCATGATCGACACGACTTTGCATGATCGTTCGCCACTATGGTGCGCCCATCCCCATAATTGGTGCAACTCCTTAATAATTGCCTGCCCTATTTGTGTCTGCTCAACATGCCATGATTAAATCACTTACCTAATGATGTGCTTACCAATAGAAAACTTTGGTTAAACATGAAGATTTTCACACTGTATATATGGATCATGATCTACATTCTCCCGGCGGCACTACGAATGATGGAGATGGCACATAAGATTGGAGAAAATTTTAGTAAACTAATATGGGCGGAACAAGAGCGGATGCATCTGGGATGAAATTCTGAGACTGAGAATATGTCAGAACATCGATAAAACTAGAGCTGAAACTCAAGGTTCAAGGGGAGATAGCAACTTTTGAAATTAAATATGAGAAATTACCTCTTATCTGTTTCAATTGCAGGCTATTGAGACACCCAAACTCAATTGCAACAACCCAACTGTAGTGGAGAACGCTCTGTATGACCTAAATATGTGAGTTGGATAATTGGAAAACAAACTATGGAGGTCCAAGTTAGCCAAGGAGGAACATGAGGATTTGGCTGATTTTAAGAGCATAAATTGATTGAGAATATATGACGAGAAAGACCACACGGAAAGAGGCAAATTATGTCTGAACCTTTGAATATAGATAACCTGGATGGGTTGAAGAAGAAAGAGGGTTATAGAACTTCCAAAGAAATGGAGCAGATGGGAAACACATCCTGTTTCCCATAAGTTAAACCTATGCAACAGCTTGGAAAGGATGCAAATAAAATATGGAACTATCATAAGGCAACAGAGATGGGGAATGGTCTTTGGAGAAGCTAAAGGAGAAGATAACACAAGAAAAGAAAGCCAAAAGTGGTACTGACTACATGGACAATATGAGGAATTAGGAAACTTACGGATTCAAGACACATTTCTATTTCGATAATAACACTTTAGCTATGGGAATTGTGGAGCAATCCAAGGATTAGAAATAGAGAAACAAAGCTTGGAAACGGAAAGACAAAACACCAAGAAAACAGGGTGCCTCAATCACATAGAATCAACTTACATTGCAAAAAAAAATCACGAAACATGACGATAAAGTGTGTAGCTCATCACTTAATGAGATGATTAATGAGGAACAAGACATGGATCCAGTGGTGAGAAAATCAAATTTTGGAGAGACTACTCCAATGAGAAGCCCCAATTTTGCCTTCCTAATGGAGACAAAGAAGTAAGAGACGAATGAGAGGAGGTAATGAATCAGTTAGGTTGGGAGAAAGGAAACGGTGTGGGTTCGGTGAGAAGAGCAGGGGCCTGCTAGCATTATGGAAGGAGGACTTCAAAGTAATGGTAATCAAAATCATTGCACCACATAAACTTGAAGGTAACAGAAAATGGCGTGCTGAGGAGGCTCACTGAACTTTACAGATGGTCAGAACAAACAATAGAGCTTACATTTATGCATGAGACATGGAATGCTTTATGCTTGTAGGCTTATCTTCATTTCTCGAATCTCATCGGTGGAAAGAAGATGAAGACAAGAGTAAATGCATGGATAAAAAACAAGGGTTGAATAATCACATGCATCATACCCTATTCATTACTAGTACTCATTGTATTTTTTTATAGCCTTCATTTATTATTATATATGTAATGTGCATGACATGGGGAAGAGTAAGAGAGAAAATAAAAATAAACCCACAATTGTGTTAGTGTTGTTGCTTCTGTAGTGTGTAAAAGCATAAGCCAAAAGTTAGTCTGTTTATTTTGAGTGTTTTCTAAATTGAGCGAAACCCAAATATTTTCATTGTGATTGTTCCTAAAACATACTAACATTAGACTCATACCCAAATTTTTTTTTGCTATAAGAGCTTATACCCTATTATCCTTTCAAAATTCCGACTTCTTGCTTAGACAATTTTTCTAAAAATAGCCATGGTAGCAGGTTCTACAAACACCATGTTTGCCACATCTTCATATTAACTTCCTAGTTTTGATGGAAAATTATACGAGTATTGGAGTATCCAAATGAAGGCCTATCTTTATTTTTCAAGATATGTGAGATCTCATCCAAGAAGGCTACGAAGATCCACAATAACAAGAAGAAGAATCCAAAAAGCGAGGAGGCGAGCAAACAAAAGAGTACAAGGAGAATGCTAAATAAAGTGGTAGTGCCTGAGAATTATTCAGCAATCTATGATCAAAACAAGCTTTCCAAGAATTTTTGGCATAAGAAAGGCCAAAGAAACTTGGAGATGTCTTTCGCGAAAAATTTCAAGCTTCCGAGGAGTCAATCTCTATTAGACGTTAACATTTATGGCGTGAGTTTGAAAACTTGATGATGAAGAAAACTGCCACTATTAAGGACTTACATTCGCGTGTGGCATAGACAGTCAACAAGATCAAAGCCACTGGTGAAGTCATGGAAGAAAGGAAGAACGTGGAGAGAATTCTTTGTAGCTTATCATCAAAGTGCGAACATGTTGTCATTGTTATAAAAGAAACCAAAGATTTGGCAAAGTTACCAATGAGTTGAGTTGATAGGCTCACTTGTAGCACACGAGTAAAGAATGAGTCGCTTCACCAAACAACAATTGCAATAAGCCTTCCAGTCAAAACTCAACATGACGGAAAGTAAATCTGCCAAATGGGTGCAAGGCCAGAGAGGGGGAAAATTGCAAAGGAGAGGAAGATGAAGATCCAATTACAGAGGAAACAACAGACAAACTCATCAAAAACTAAATCAGGCAACACCGACTCGAGTTGCATAATTTTCAAAAAGGAAGGTCATGCAACAAAAGACTACAGATTCAAGTGAAGCAAGTGCATAATTCCGAACCGCTACCAGAGACATTGCATGTTCAAGAATCAGCAAGAAGAAGGCGAGTCAAGCAACACAAAAAAAAAAAAAAATGAGGAAAGTAATATGGTGGCCTTCTCATGCTTGACTCGACTCTACTGTCACTCCAGGAATTGGCCAAGTGAAACCACTTCCTAAAGCGTAGTATAGCAGGTTTGGGTTTAATTATCAACCCGGGTCCTAGATGTGATGACTACTTAGTGAATTCTTGTTATCTAGCAATGAAACTGGAATGCAAGTCTAACTAACAAACTAACAAAGCAAGTAAACTGGTTGTATTCAGGTTAAAGAGGTCACCCGGATATGGTTCCCCCTAGACTGCAGTTAAGCCGAATTGTAATTACCAAGTTCAGTTTCTATGACAGTTATACTGCGGAAGGTTCTTAAACAGCCTGAAGTCTCGACTAAAGGTCTTCAGACCCTCTCAATCTGACTCTCTAGCGGGCGACTAACCTCCACCGGAGTCGACAGATTGAGGCCCTAAGAACAAAACCTCCACTACCGGAGTAAATCCGGTACAGAATAGTGAGTTGGCTCCTCGACTAAAGTCACCAACTCCCTACCTTCAATCAAGGATACTCTATTAACCTAGGCAGATATTCTCATTCTAGGTTAAAGCAGAAACAACAGGAATTTGATCAGGATTCAAGTCATTCAATCATTAAAACCTCAATCGAATTTAATCAATCACAGAATCAGTACTTGGGTTCATACAATCAAAGCCTAACATACAAATCTAGGGTTCTCCATACCCAGATGAATGGGAGAACTACTCCATGGAGAAGAAAGCAAAAGCAGAATCAGACACGAAATTCATACTGCAAAGGATGGATTCCTGCTTCTGGACGTTGATTGGCACTTCTCCAAGCTCAAGCTGGCCTCCAATGGTGTTGAAGATCAATCTAGGGCACTTGGGAACTCTTGCTCGTCACTTTCTCTCTCTAGAAGTCGTTCTTTCTCTCAAAAAATCGAATCCCCTTGACTTGTGGCTGAAAATCTGCTTAAAAGCAGCAGTGGCCAAAGCACGGTCGAGGGCACGGCCGTGCTTTGCCTGACTCCGCCCGTGTCTCGGCCAGGGCTTAATTACACGGCCAGCAGCTGTTGGAAAACACGGCCGTGCTTCGCGATGTACACGGCCGTGCTTTGACTGAACACGGCCGTGCTTTGGTGCCCGTGTTTGCAACTGAAATTGCCAAACCGAATTTGCTCTCGGCATAAAAAGCACGGCCAGCAGTACACGGCCGTGTAATGCCTTAGGTCTGCCCGTGTTTTGGCTCCAGCTCACCGAAATGACTTCCGAATGCCCCGAAACTCGCGGTTAGCCTTCCCTTTAACGCCTGGGACCTGAAACATGACAAAA